CACACACACACACACAGTGTTAAGTAAATCGTCTAGGATTAAACCATCTCATTGTCCATATCCTGACCAGAGTGAAACCCAGCCTGCTTCTGGATGTGGTGGCCCAGAAAAATGAGCCTGCAAACTAATAATGCTAGGAGTTAATGCACATCAAGTGAGGGTGTGTGTGTGTGTGGGGGGGGGAGTTGTCCCACTATCTTGCATGAATAAAGCTCCCCTCTTGATCTTTCCAAACAGGAACTTGAGGCTCACATGACTGCCTCTGTTGCCTGGCTGAAGACACAGTGACTCAAAGACCAAGTAATCAAAGTGCCTAACTAGGCTGTGCACATCTTCAGATGTGAAGAAATCTACAGAATCTCTTGTTACAGCCCATAAAGTGTAATGGTGTCAGAAGGGGCTGCCTTGCAGTGTTGCTCAGTGAGATTCTTCTTGCCAGCCATGACTCAGCTGGAAGCAGCCAGTGAACACCTTTGAACAAAGCCTTGTGTTTCTAGGACCTGACACACTTGGTTACTGTTGCCTCATTGTTCTGGGTGGGGTGCTGAGCCCTTTTAGCTGCAAATTTATCTTGCCCAGATTTGTTTAATCTCGCATAGCAAAGAGCTGACGGCTTACAGACTCCACCTCCTTTCACCTTCCCTTTACCACTGCAATATTAAGAGTTCCTGCTTCCCTGTAGAAGTGGTGTTGCAAAGTTGGGATCAATTGCTAAATCAGTATGAAGAAGGCAGGGGAACAATTTGTCCCCTCCTTGAGGTCATGTCCCTGTAGTGCTGACTACCATAATATAGAGCAGAGGATAGGTCTGCTTACATAGGTCACTCATGAGGGTGGATTTTTCACACCCCTGAATGATGTAGCTATACTTGAATGTCTATCCAGCCAAAGTAATACTAGGGGATCAGCACAGCACTGCCCGAAAGTGCAGCCGTGTTGCTCTTACTGAAACTGGGGAATTATATGAAGGAAAAGGGACCTCAGAATTATGACCTTGCTGAGTATTTGCTGGGGTATAACTTTTTCAAAGTGGCAATGTAGGTGTCTCCTGACCTCTCCAGTATTGCTGTCATCCTCAAGTGCACATCGGATCCGGGAGCTTTACTTGTCTAAAGCTGTAATCCAGCTCTAGGTTTACACACTGGTACAGGCATGCACACGGAGGTGGGATAACTCTCTTAAGGAGCCGGTTGGTTGGTGGTAAACCAGATATTCCTGCAGTGTTAGTGATGTGTATCTTTACTAAAAAAAGAGTAGTTCTCTAACATCCCTATACAGATCAGTTAATTGAATAGTCAAATAACCTCATGTATTCTTACCGGTTAGTCAACTATTCTATAGTCCCCCGGCAGCTTCTGTCCAGGGGGGGAAAGGGTCTGAGCTCCCAAACCCGGCACAATCCGGAACTGAGCCAGGCTGCCTGCCCACCTGGCTCCTAATAAGCTTTAAATGCAGAGCTGCAGCAGATGTGGTAGGTCTGGGACCCATCACAAGGCAGGACTGAGCTGGGCTGCTGGCCAGCCTGCTAAAAATAATTACTGGCAAGGGGTGGGGAGGGAAATGTGTGTATTCTATAGCATTAACCTGTACACTTTTTCTGATCAGTCAATCAACTCCACTATTACATCCCTAGTCAGTAACAGTGGAACACATCTATAGTATCATGAGCTTTTGTGGGCAACACCCATTTCCTCAGATGAGCAGAGTGGAGAAAAAGGGGGCACCTCACAGTGTAGAACAGGAAAAGCAACCACCACTGGGTATGATGATCATCTATTTGCACGTGGATAGGAAGAGGTCTATTTGGTTTTGTGTGAGTTTCCTTGCGCAGCCGATGGATTTCCACACACAAGGCACTGCGTTCAGAGGTATGATGTTGAGAAGTCTATGGGGCAGCTATGTTTGTAACTTTTTAAAAAAACAAGTCCTGTGGCATCTTAGACTAACATATATAAATAAATAAAACCATGAGCTTTTGTGTAACTTTGCTGTTTATCACCCCTTGCTTTCCCTCCTCCCCTTTGATTCAGGCGGGGGATGTGTACAGCAAACAAGCCAAAGGCGAGCAGTTGGAGGAAGGAAAGGTGTGTGCACCCAAGTCTGAAGGCTGTAATAATAAACCCACTGTATAGCTTATGACAGCCTTTCCTCCTGCAAATGAAATTGACAGGGGCTGTTGGATATAGGAGAGATAGCTCAGTGGTTTGAGCATTGGCCTGCTAAACCCAGGGCTGTGAGTTCAATCCTTGAGGGGGCCATTTAGGGATTTGGGGCAAATGTGTCAGGGATGGTACTTGGTCCTGCTGTGAGGGCAGGGGACTGGACTCGATGACCCTTCCAGTTCTAGGAGAGAGGCATATCCATTCATGTATATATCAACGCTACATCCCCTTGTGAGGGAAGAGGATTTGAAGTTCCGCGAAATGAGAGAATCTCCACTTTCAGAATGTTCATGAAATGTCGTTTGGAATGAGGTGTTTCATTTCAGGGGTGGGGCGGTCCCAGTAGGGGCTATGCCCTCAGCCATCCCCTCTAACCTGCCTGCTGCCAGGAGCTAGGCTGGGGACATCCCACTCCTCCTGCAGTCAAATGCCCCAGCCAGCTGGCTTCTTGGCTAAGCTGCACTTGAAAAACAAGGGTTCAAGTGCAGCAGCACTACTGTGGCGCTTTAGTGTACCCATTCATTACAGCAACAGGAAGGGTTCTCTGGTCACCATAGTCAATCTGCCTGCCTGGAAGCAATAGCTGGGTTCCTAGTTTCTACACCAGGCATTAAGTCATCTTAACTCTGTCACTCAATTAAGAGTCTGTATACGCCCCTGAGCAGTGCAGAGGCTCAACCTAACGTTTCAGTATGTACCATCCCTGAGACTATGGAGACAGGTGCTCTCCCTCCACTCCTAAAGATAAACTTCCCATGTCCCTGGATGGAAGCTACTGCAGTCACTTTGTGGATAAACAATCAGCTTTCACTGTCACCCTGTCCCCCTTTGCACAACATGATCTTAAGACTCTTCCTGAAACTTTGTGCAATGTATTTCAATGTGGAAATCCACTTTCCTTCCAATGCACATGGACCCAGAAAGAACAAAGGGACCTCACTTTCCTTACAGGGAGCCAGTGGCTGGAGAGAAGCTACTTCATTGTAAGAGGCAATGTTCCCTCCAAGATTTCCCATCCGTGAGCAAGTGAGTTTTGTCTTGTGTACCCACATTGACACCATATTCACTTATTTGGATGTGCGTGCATGCGAGCGCACGCACACACTTTAAATTGTTATACAAGGGAAAAATACTAACCCAAGGAATAATTAACAAGGTGCATGATCCTGTGGTGCAGCAATCCGGGCCGAGAGCGGGAGGATCCAGGCGGTGCAGGGCTCAGGGTGGGGTGCTGACCGGTTGGGAAGGTATCAGCTCTTTGCTGGGGAGAGGCTGGAGCTGCGCTGCCCATTCCTCTGGCAGTTCCTTGCAGGGGGTTGCCTCCAGACTGGGCTGTTCTGTCCTCCAGGGGCAGTTGTTTGCTGGGCTTTAAAGCAGAGCTGAGCACTGCCTGCCCCCTGGCTACCCAGCAGCTATTTATGAGAGGAAAGGCCAGGGCTGCCCCCCCCCATAGTGGCTCCAGCCCCGGCCCTGGTTGCACATTGTTACCACAGGCGGAAGCTGCTCCAGCCAGACCCCCCTCCACAGTTAACCAGTAACCCTTGCCCGTTTAGGGGTGAGGCTTACTGGTTATCTGGGTAAACATTCACATACATAAACCTGGCCCTGACTCTGCACATCCCCAGCTCCCTTCCCTAATTTCTCCCCCCACACTTTCAGTTGTACCTGTTAGGATGGTGGGGGAGAGAGGATGGTGGAAGCTGCTCCAGCCAGACCCCCCTCCACAGTTAACCAGTAACCCTTGCCCGTTTAGGGGTGAGGCTTACTGGTTATCTGGGTAAACATTCACATACATAAACCTGGCCCTGACTCTGCACATCCCCAGCTCCCTTCCCTAATTTCTCCCCCCACACTTTCAGTTGTACCTGTTAGGATGGTGGGGGAGAGAGGATGGTGATAAATGTCTAACAGCCCCTCTCCCCAAGGAGGGCAGGCTGTGATAGGATAGTATCTGTAAGAAACTCAAGTTACTTTCACCCCGGATGTGTCAGCTGCGAATCAGACTGAAATTGCAAGTAGATTATAGTTGTGGTCACCACCTGCTTGGATGAGATTCTATCCCTTGCTAATGCTGAGGCCATCTGATGCCTTGCCTCATAATTAACACTGTCTGTAAGAACCATGTTACTCCAAATGAGTCAAAGCTTTCTTTGTCTAGTGCTCTGCAAGTGCACTAGCATCTTGCTCCTCAGGTTGAGGGCTGAATCTGTACCGCCCTGGGCAACAGGGAGTGTTCCTCACGCATTTCTCAGCAACACCACCACCTTGGGCGTGGAGTCCTGTATTGGCCTTCTGGCTAGATAAGTCACCTGATGCAAACTCAGGAAAAGGAGGGAGCATTACCAAAAAAAAAGCTTCAGTGCATCTGCTGAGAACATAACCGTGATGTGCTTAAGCACAAGGAGCCTGCAGATTTGGATTCCATTTCTGATTGCTGCCGATTTTCCTCTTTGGCAGACTGTTCAGTCTCTGTGCCTGTTCACCTGTAAAATGAGGCTGATGATACTTGTGGCTTTGACAAGGATTTTAAGGCTGAATTAATGTCTCCAGTGCATTGAAACCCTTGTCTGGAAGATGCTCTAGGTCCTTGGAGTCAATACCTGCAGCCTCCACTACCATATGCGAATAAACATTGAGCTTAAAAGGGTAAATGTCTTGTGAAGATCATTGTTCAAAGGATAATGTGTGACTGAAAAAAGAGGCACCGTCTTCATGTTGGGTACAGGGTTCCCTCTGTCTGGGGTGGTTTTGTTTTGGTGTGGTGATTTGTGTTTTGGGGGGGTGGTTGTTTTTCCTTTTGGGGAGACAGTTTTCCTCCAGTCAAACTCTTACTGGGGCTAGTCCATGATGACTTGTTGCTAGCTACGTCCCTTTGTCTTACAGGTGCTCCGAATGCCAAGACCCCCTAACTAACTGGTACTATGAGAAAGATGGGCAGCTCTATTGTCACAAAGACTACTGGGGGAAATTTGGGGAATCGTGCCATGGCTGCTCTTTGCTGATGACTGGACCTGTGATGGTAAGGACTCTGCTATGCCTCTTTCTGCCCAGCCACTCCTGACCAACAAACACATCCATTACCGGATGCCCGTAACTGCAGGCGGGAGGCATTAGTCTTAGAACTCCACTGTTGATCTCAAATATTAAAAGCCTACACAATCTGTGCATCTTTTGGGATGCCGATTGCCTTAGATCGTGGGTTCCCAAACTGGGGGGCATGGAGAAATTCCAAGTGGAGGCACGAGGTGACCCAGCCTCTCCCCATCAAGTTTTGCTGCCCTGTTCAGTTCCCGATTTTTGGCTCAAGTTTTGCTGCTATTTGGAGGGGGACGGGGATGTGAGGGTTTTTCAAAAATCAAAAAGGGGGTTGTGATGCCAAGAAGTTTGGGAACCACTGCCTTAGATCTTCCAACTTGGAGGGAGGAGGACCAGACACATTGTGGGGAAGAGGGCAAGGAGCATAGACACAAGGCCCTGAATAAAATGAGCCAAAAGACTCCCCATCTTACCCCCAAGTTGTGCATCAGTGGAGGATGTTCAGGGGGTTGAGCCTCTATTTTAGCCTGACACTCCAGTTCCTCTTAGTCTCTTGTCAAATTGGCGGGAAGGGGGAGTTGTGCTTTTATTGCCTTATGACAGATTGGTGTGAGCTTGCAGTTGTAAGCTCGGCCTGCACTAGGGACCTAAACATTAATTGATAAGGGCTGATGCAGCTTCCTGCCCACCCCTGGCAGTGGATGACTCCTGCTCTGCAGGGCCTGCTGGAGCAGCCCTTCTCCATGGTGTGTTGATGTTCTCTTCTCCCCCTCCATTCCCCACTGCAGGCTACATGCTGTCTCCCTGGCTCTGGGAGCCAGCTGCAGAGCCTGCAGTGAAGCCTTCTCCCTTAGGGCAAGGCCGGCAGCTGCCCTGGCTCCACTGCAGTGTAAAGCTTCTTTAAGCTTTGTGCTGCGGGCTCTGCATGACAACCTGAGTGCCGGCGTGAAGAGGGCTCTGTCGGCCGGAGAGCGTCTCCCGCTGACGCAGCTGTCCCACTGAACGGAGGCAGGAGTTATGACGCTGATGGAGTAACTCTCCTGGTGGCTTGGAGCATCTTCCCCAGATGTGCTACAGCAGGGGCGGGAGCCTTCTTGGTTCGGGGGCCACTGACCCACCGAAAAATCAGTCGACAGGGCTGCACATGTGAGAAGCCAAAAAAAACACCCAACCCTTACTCAGGAGGCCCCTGGCTGAGGTGGATGGACACACACACACACACACACACGATTTTGTGTGCCCCAATGCCGCATGGGGACTAGCATCGGCATAGGCTGTCCCATGCTGAGGGAAGCTCTAACCCTTAGGGGCCGGATGCAGGCAAGCTAGAGGCTGTGTGCAGTCCCTGGGCCTGAAATTGCCCACCCCTGCACTACAGTGTCCCAGCTGCTGTGGTGTCGCCTTTAGGCTGAAACATTTCTGAAGCTACATGGTAAATCAGGACCTTGTCTAAAAATGACCTTTAAAGCCCTCTAGTGGCTAGCTGCAGAACCAACATTCTTCCGGTGTTTCTAAATGTGTCCCTTGTATGGAAATATCATCACCAAGATGTAAACCTGAACTCCTTTAAATCTGTCTTTGCCAAGAATGAAAAGAATCCAGAGCAGCGTATTGTGTACCAACTAACACACTGCTCTGGGGACAGAACTACCACAAACACCTGCTAGTGGAAAATAGTGCAGTGGAATGCTCACTAGAATGTATTTTGGCAAAAACGAGCCAATCTGGAGGAAAAGGTCTCACGTAAGAACTACTGCAAACTGAACAAACCAATTTTAAAAAAGTGTGTCCCATTAGTCCTGTTGCTGCTTTATGGTAGCTGGTTGCAGTAACTGAAATTAATGATGCTAGTTTTGCAAAACCATTTCTCAGATGTATCAGTTAACTCTTTAAGATCTACTCTCACCTGTATCATAACTAGTGGGAGGTCTAATGTTCACTCAAATGCCTACTTTCCTCCAGAATAGCAAAAGTCAGGAAGGCTGCCAGATATTGGTAGGGAGTGATTCCTGTGCCATATGAATTGCACCAACATGTGACACTAATTTCAGAGCAGTGTACTGTAATCAAGGGAGGGTCTACACTGCATCCTTGGCTTGAAGCTATTGCATAGCTTAATTTCGAATGTATTTTGAAATGGCTTATTTCGTAATTTGGCACTGTCTGCATAGCACCAAATTGCAAAATAACCCACTATTCCATAATGTCCCTTAATCCTCATGGAATGAGGTCTATAGAGAAGTCATAATAGTGCACACCCATTACTTCGAAAGGTATTTCACAATAATGGGCACACTGTTAAGATGCAGAATAGCTATTTTGGTATACCTGAAATATCCGAAAATAGTGTTGTAGTGTAGATGTACCATGTACAAGGTGCTTAGGAAAGGCAGTGTAGACTTGCATTAGGGATGTGAATGGGTAACATGTTAATCAGTAAGCATCTACCTTCATGGGTCATGCTTACCGGGTAATGGTATCTGGGAACAACCCACAGCCTGTTGCAGAGTTCCACCACAGGCAAAGGCTGGAGCAGCCCCTCCTGCCCCACCCATCCTCTTTCATTGGTTAACCAGTTGAATGGGATTTTACATACCTAATGTGTGTTGCTCTGTCCAGTATTTAAGCATGAAAGCTGCTTAGGCTTGGAGTTCAGAGGCAGCTATTGCTTCCCCAAGCCCCTCTTAACCATCCCTTGCTTGATCAGAACTTCCTCTGCCTGTGTGTGTAGGTGGCTGGAGAATACAAGTACCATCCAGAATGCTTTGCTTGTATGAGCTGCAAAGTAATCATTGAAGATGGAGACACATACGCGCTTGTACAGCATTCCACACTCTACTGGTAAGATGGGGCATGTGGCTGCCTTGTTGATCATGCGGTACAGTGCACTCCATTGCCTGCTGTATGTGCAAATTGCTTTCCCCTTCGGTCTCGAGGCTCGGTGTGGTTTTACATACCTGGAAGCTTTTACATTTATGGGCTTCAGAGATAAGCCAGGAGGATGGTTTAAGGATTAGAAAGTCTTCCTTGTAGTCATGGACTCTAGGATCTTTCCTCTGTTAATATAAATGGATCTAGGATAAGGAGCAACTTGACTAGTCTGCAAGGGTCTTCATGGGCATCATGCTGAATAACAGACTCTTCAGCTTAACTGAGGAAAGTAGAACGTGACCCATTGGGGTCCCTAGCCTCTGTTTTTCTGGAAATGCATGACTGGGAGGGATCACGTGAGGATTCCCTGTTGTGTTCCCTCCCTCTGGGGCACCTGGCATTGGCCACTGTCGTCAGACAGGACACTGGGCTAGATGGACTTTTGGCCTGACCCAGTCTGGCCGTTCTGATGTTCTTATTGGCTAGAAGCAGAAGCTAGACAAACTCAGATGGGAAATAAGATATAAATAGTGGGAGCAACTTAACCAGTGGAACAATTTACTGACAATAGTGATGGATTCTTCTTTACTGGCCTTTTTTAAATCAAGGTAGGAAGTTTCTTCTAAAACTTGTGGGTTCTAGGAATTATTCTGAGGCAGTTCTGTCACCTGGGCTGGACCAGGGATCAGACTAGGTCAGCAGGGTTGGCTTGGGGCAGAAGCCCTTGAGCGACTGTTTCGTGTCCCCCTCGATGAAGGGAAGGTGGGCATGGGTGGGCTCATATTTTGGGGCCCCCTTCTGGGGTTGCATAGTGCAAGGAAGTTTTGAGATCTCCTCAACACAGTGGTCGCTTCTGGCCGTGGAGCCTGTGAATCTATAAACACCGGAATGGACTGATTAGGCACATGTGACTAGGGGAGCTCTGCCGGATGGGTGATAAGGACAAGAGAACTGTTACAGCCTGATGGACAAAAAGATCGGGCTGTGCAGGTTGGCAAGAAGGGATGGGAAGTGGCCAGTGACGCTTCTCTATTCTTCCACAGTGGAAAATGCCATAACCAGATTGTGCTGAAGCAAATGATAGAAAGACTCTCCACACAATCTCTGCGTGAACAGCTACCCTACACGCTGACGCTCATCTCCATGCCTGCAGCCACTGATGGCAAGAGAGGGTTCTCCGTGGCTGTGGAAAGTGACTGCTCTAGCTACGCTGCCAGCGTCCAGGTCAAAGAGTGAGTAATTGTGACGCGATACCCAAGTCAAGGCCGCTGGGCGCTTCTGGCAAACTTTTATTTGGGGATCTCTCTAGCTGCTGAAATGGGACTTTGCATTCTGTGATGGCATGTGGTAGGAATGAGATGCAGATAAAAGCACGCGCGTTGCTTGTCGGGGCGGGTCTTCCCTTCTCTTGCGTTGTTCTAGGCAATGTAAACTCTCATTCAGGGCAGGGATTCTCCTCTGCCCAGAAAGCTCTGCCAGGATTATAGCAGTTAACAAAGCTGGTCTCAGAGGGGTGGCTGTGTTCGTCTAACTTTTTAAAAACACATACAAACAAATAGGTGTGTATATTTAAAAAAAAGAAAGTGAGGAGTCGACGACCTGAGTAGCCTGGGTTTATCAGGTAGCCAGTACTCAACTAGTTGCTTCCCCCCTCCCCCCAGCAGCAAGTGGGGGAGCAGGAGTCAGTGCAGTGGGGAGCTGCCTTAAAAGCTGGTTCCCCCCCACACCATCTCCACGGGGGACAGGAGGCAGAGGCGCAGCAGGGGTCTGGGTGCAAGGCAGGAATCGGCTGTCCCAGCTCGTGCCTGGTCCCAAACGCTGCGCCTCTGCTTTTTACACGTAGCGAGAGCTGTAAGGCCTAGTGGCTCTTGC